GTAAAGCCTCCATGATTCTGTATACTATTAGCTTTCAGAAGTATGAAGTTTTAAGGTTGTACTCATTTAGGAAACTCTGGTCGCAAAAGAACGCGTTCTGCGGACGAGATTGAAGCCGCAATCCGTCAAGTCCCCCAAGAATCGCGGCAAACGATTCGGACAATGGCGTTGAAGTCTGGTATCCCTCGTCGCACGATTGACGCCATATGCAGGAGACTGGAAGTTTGAAGGCCCGGTCAAGTTAAATTAAGCCGTTCCTGACACCCGACAACATTCAAGCCCGACTACGGTACGCATTGTCTTTTCTTTTTCCTTCGTCGAATGGAAGCTATTTTTCTGAAGATATGTACGATTATGTTCATATCGACGATAAATGGTTCTATTTGACGAAGGTACAAAGAAAATACTATGAGTACGAGGACGAGGAACTGGCAGCCCGGTTCTGCAATCTTAACGCTTCATTACTAAAGTGATGTTTTTGGCGGCCGTGGCTCGCCCGCGTTATGACTTTCACCGGAAGCAAATGTTCGACGGGAAAATTGGGGTTTGGCCTTTTGTGGAATCTGTTCCAGCCAAACGGAACAGCAAAAACCGTTTGAAAGGAACAATAGTTGTTTCCCCACAATCCGTCGGCGCAAAAGTATATTCGACGATGTATATTGAGTAAATACTTCCTGCTATCAAGTCAAAGTTTCCGTCTGCAGCTCTTATGTCTGCCGTGTTGATCCAACAAGACAATTTCAGTCCACACAAATACTTAACGACGGACCGGTTAATTGCATCCGGAATTGGTGGAATTGGAATCGTGAACCAGCCCCCAAACAGGCCGGACTTCAATGTGCTCGACTTAGGATTCTTTAACTCTATTCAAAGCATGCAGTATCAAAAGTGTACTCGTTCAATCGAGGAGCTTATTGATGCTGTAAAAACATCGTTTGGTGAGTTGCCCACTGAAACACTGGCAAAGACCTTCGTCACCCTTCAAAAGGTGATGGAGAAGTCCATTGAGATCAATGGTAGCAATCAATACAAACTGTCCCACATGAAGAAGGATGCTTCGATTGCAAAACTCTCGTCCTTCCATGTCGAGTGTGATGCAACAAGCTACGAGAGCGCGCTGATGCACTTGAACAATCGCCTGGGCTGAAGAAGTGCACTTTGAAGCGATGGTGAATTCCCAGGAACAAGTAATTTAATAACATACTCCTGATTGCATTATAATTTTCATCTTCGATATATAAATTTGGAGTTCAATACAATAATCAAGATGTGCAAATGACAAGTTCAATACTTTAATGAAGTTGTTGGGAGGCGACAACTATTATGCGCCAGAGTAGTATTGAAGACGCATTTTGGCGAAAACTTCAAATATAGCGTGAAAGATGACAAACAATTATTGTCAACTTGAGCTATAATTTATAGCATAAATGTCATATTAATAAAAGTTATGCAACCGTTTTGTATGTGGAGTCAAGCAATTCAGCGCAATCGATTGAGGAAGATGGCAATCCTCCTCAATGGAAATAAACAGTGGTGCACAAGTGATTTCTTCCTCAGGCTGAACTCGACTTGATTCTAGCGTGTTGTATGGTGATGCTAAATTATATACTGTATATCGTTTGAAGATATCGTAAAGTTAATCCTAGAATTTCTGGAGAATGAGCGCGATTAATTGCCCGCCATACCACACAATACAATCTGCAGGCACCAGTCAGTCCAATGGTGCTCAACGTCGCGGCGATATATGCCGCCTCGAAGATCTCACCATGTCCGACCAAGTCTTTCTGGACAACTGCTTCACGCAGTACTTGGACACCATCTATCTGCAAGAAGTTACTGATTCGACAAACGCTATCATTGACAAGGTCCTGGCTGAAGCCGGCGACGAAGGGTTCAGAATCATGACCGATGTCGCTGTCGCCGAGTTTGAAATGCTATGGGACATCGTCCAAGTATCCTTGAAATCGCGGTGGACCGATGGCTGCGGCTGCAAGCCAGCAGTAAGGACTTGCTTTTGATGGCGTTGGCAGTTCTGAAGCACTAACAACCATTAGAGAAGAATGCTGACGACTTGACTTTCGTGCACAGACGTTTCGAAAGTATGTGCTGCGTGTTGTCGATGTAATCGAACCGGTCATCTCGAGACACTTTGTAAGTCCTTTATCGCCGAACTACGATCCAAGAACACCGTGTTTGAACACCACCCCTACGCCCTGTACGTAACTGATGTCAAGCTCGAATATCTCGAATAGAATGAACGAATAGGTGGAAGCCATGGGAAATCAAAGGCGTGCTTCAGTGGCAAGCATAATCTATACAGTCTGGAGATTGAAGCGTCGGTGCATCCAGAGGATGTGTTAGTCGACATGAGCGACTATCAGTTGGGGTCAGTTGCCGAAATATCCAATTGCACTCTAAAGCTCTAAAGAAAACTGTCATCGAGATGAGCGTCGTTAATGAAGGCGAACAAGTCAACACTCATCACATGATGTTTTTGTTTGACAAGAAGTACTGTGGTGTCATGGCAGACTCGCGTTGAGTGTATCCGAGGAAGTACCTCCGAGAGGTGTGCTTTGCCGAGAAGACATCGACCGCAATCGTCAACTCTCGTCGGTCCTTGTCTTCGTCTAGAATTAGCCGGTTCTGTCTGTGGAAGGTGCTCTATGCGACGTTCTCGTGGGGTCACAAGTCAAAAAAAATAACTATAATGTCATTCAGCGATTGACCTTTGCCATGACCAACTTCCATGTCTCTCTCCTCCCTTTGCGAGCCTACGATCGGATGTGCTATCGCAAGATTTTGGTGAGGTATGAATCCATGGCTGAGTCTGCTGCGGAACGTCGAGCGGAGGTGTAGCGGCAATCTCGTTCTTGTTGTGTAGAAAGGATGGCATTGACTGGCGGCCAACACAGCCATTACTCCACCCATGCGTCCCTGTCACCACAGTCGTCTCAAATGCGTCGCCTTAAAACATGTTATATTTCGATCTACATTTTATACTACAGGAAACGACGGAATGCAAGGCCTACTTTGTATTCGAGTCCTACGTGAATTGGATCATTTGATTGGATTGCTAACTGCGATGTACGTTTCGTTTTGAGCCAATCAGTGCGCAATTTTGAAATTTTTATTCGCGCTGACTTACGTCAATTCATTTTATTACAGGTGATTATATTGTGTAGTATGATTTCTCACCGATATGGCTGCAAACGACAACAATATAGGATGTAAAGAACGAGGTAATCGGTTTACGAAGGTGTCCTACACAAGATATATGAATGGATGGATGATTCCAGCGTTTGACGCGGTAGATCAATGGTTAAGGGCGACTAATTGCAGTGGAAATTTAATTAACGCTGAAATTATTGGACATCCTTCAGTAAGGGAGAGCTTTCTCGAAACTGCGGCGAATCTCTTGGCTCGACACAAGGTCCCATGCTGCAATCGACCGCTTCACCAATGCCTTGCGCTTTGTCGCGAGATAAGCGAAAATGGGTCATCACCAACAATAATGTCTTCGAGCAGCCACAAGTTACGTAGGTTGCGCTTAAACGGCGCCATCACCCAACGTCAAGGGGTTGACACACCGACGTCGCCGTCGGTGGCAACGCACACAGGCGGGCTCCTCGTACATGATGTTGTACGACTCACCCGACACATGTGACTCGAAGTTATCCAGCTGCACGACTGACGGCTCCTCGATCGTTTCGCCGAGGACATCCTGAAGGTACGTGACCCATATACGCTTGTCCATCCAGGCACACTGCTGAACCGCGTAGTGATGGCCGGGAGGGAATGTGCTGAGCCCGCCACTGTCAATGTGACCACCAGGCACCCCCTCCATGATGAAGAGATGAAGAGGATGGGCAGCTTGGTGCCATCAGCTAGTACCGTGAGCACCGCCGTCATGCGAAGCGAATGCTTCTCCCCGCTCAAGATTTTGGAGCTTCCGCTTCGCACCGCCCAAATGTAGCGCGGCGGCATGTCGTAATAGATGTCTGCTTCATCAACGTTGTACACGCACTCGTTGCCGTACGCAATGTACTCGCGGTGGAACTCCGCGGCGAAGTCGCTCTGCACCTCAGCAAGATCGGCTTGCTTGACCTTGTTCTTGGTGGGACGCTGGCGGGAGAAACCGTGACGATGGCAGAAGCGCTGGAGCAGGCGGAGGAAAGCGTCGTACGACGTCGACTGTTGCTTGGTGGCGAGGCAGTTGTTCAACCACTCACGCTGGTTTGCCTTCATCCACAGGATGAGATGCGTAGTCATGAGGGCACACTCGTTGTCGCGGACATGGTTTATGAACTCGATGGGTCCTGGCGGGTCTGGAAAGACCTCGTATCTTCCACCAGGCTCCAGTTTAATATTTTTCAAGTTACCGTCGTACGCTAGAATCTCGTGTTTATGGGATATCCAATTGCGCAACGTGCGTCGCGGAACGTCCAGTGCTACGGACACCTTGTAGTCGGACATGGTTATCAGCATTCCCAACGCTTGAAGCTTCGTCGATATTGGATACCCCCGTCGTCGCATTTTTAATTGTGTTTGTCGCGGAGAATTTGTTTTTTATTGAAACTGGCGGGAAGTATACAAATTCCGCCAATCATCAAGCTGTATTTATTCATTCAAATTTGATTGGATGTTGTCCACCATTACACCAATAATTTTAATAGGCCTTGCATTCCGTCGTTCCCTGTACACATTTTGAATTTATGGAATAAAATGAATTAAAGAAATAAATTCAATGTTTAAAAAAAGTACACTGCCCTTTCAGGCCCCATGCTAATCCTTTACCCCTCACACTGAAAGTGCTACTTGCAATAGTCATCCAGCATTTCACCAGCTTATCCATTGCACCACGATATAATCGCGGAGGTATCCTCAGGCTGAAAGTGCATGCAAAACAAGGGTGTCAGTCATTGCAATTGTGCCCGAGTTCGATCCCAGCTACGGATATTAGTGTATTAATTCCAACTAATGAGTTGCCACCATACCGATGAGATTTCGATATATTTTGGAAATTTGGACGTGTCACGGAAATTGGACGTGGTACACTGCCATTTGCGAAGGTGATGTGTTTTTTCCAAGATACTTTGTGATATTCAATGCTTCATTCCATTTTCCGAAACATCGACACTCTCACGAAACATCATGCATTTTGGTTTTGCAGCCTATTATATGCTAGTTATTATATCATTGGCTTCATGACTGCGAATTTTACAAATATATATGTACGTACGTACTATTAATAGTAGTGAATTCGATTCTGCCATTGAAATACCTTGATCACATTATGTTTCGAGTGAGATTCGAAATATCTTTCAAATCTCGCATAAAATGCTCGTGTAATATTATGTATGGATAACATGGCGAATACGACAATCCTATCCGACATTAGTCTTATTGGTTAAAAGTTCAATACTACTATGTCCCAAATTACCTCCACGTTTCACCTCAAGTTTTGCCGCAAAATCATTTTAATTACGAGGATTTATTTACATTTGTCCTAAATCATACTGATGATCTTTGTATAGCGTGAACTGCCTCTTGTGAACAAGCAAGTGGTCCAGACAATTGGCCCAAACTTCTTACATGAGCATTGCCGATATAGATGACGAGGATTGTCACCTTTCCTTCTGGCGAGCAATGAATTTCCGTAGCCATGTTTGATGGTTTTGTTTCAAGTAGTTAACCATGTGGGTGCATGTCAACGCGCGCTCTTGATGACGGCGGCAGTCCATGAACGAGAAGAGGCCTTCGGGCTGCGGAATGATGGTTGGGCGGCCTGCACCAGGTAAATTCGTTGACTTCTTGTTTTCACTGTATACTTGGAGCTACTCGGACTGTTGACTCGAGTTTCGGACTGTCGTGTAGGGGACCGACAGCTGTATGGCCACCTGATGATACGACATCCGCTGCAGCAACACAGGTGCTTGGAGTTTGAGAGAGATGGGGTATGTGTGGCGATGGTTTCCGTTCGACATATCTGGTGTAGTGGTCTCCATGGTTCACGGACATGCACTTTGCATCGACTCTCTGAAAGTGATGAGGTGACACAAATCATGACACTTCTGCGCGGGCCTTAAATATTGATTTGGCGCGATATTTAATTATGACCAATAAAAGAGAAGTATTTTTGTCATGGATTATTACTGGATAAAATAACTGTTTTGTAACGTTCAAACTTCGGTGTGCCTTAAATTCCCTCGTTCACTGTACATCTTCAAGCAGCACGCATGATGGACTGTGACTTCGTACGATGGCACCAGCTGGTGAGTCACCATCACATGGTACGTGATGACTCTGGTCACTTGGCAGGGTCCGCATCAATGCAGGGCCAATATTGTCGGACGGTTGACAACTGATCCGATAAACGAAACCCGCAAACTTGACTTGGGATTTTCGTTCGTGGCGTCCATGCGCTTGCCGACGCAATTTGTCGCTTTGCACCGCCACTTCGCGGTGCATTTCTTCAAGCGCCACTTGGAGATCCGTCACATGTTTTTGACGGGTATCGTCAAGCCTGTCCGCGACGTAAACTTCCTTGGACGTCGGGTGGACAAATCCAGCGGAGTCTTGGCTGGCAGACCGTAAACGCTGTCACAGGCGCAATTCCCTCCATCCGGTCTACCAGCTGATGGTTGAGGGCACCTTGAACGAGAGGCAACACATGCGGCCATTCGTCCGCATTCAGCTTCATTTCGCTGGGCAGCGCCTTTACGGCGTGCAGCACTAATCAGTTGACTATTTCTACAGCCCCGTTCACCCAAGGACTTTAGGCTGTTGTGATGTGATGGTGGGCACCCACCAACTTCCGCACCTTCTCGATGACTTCTTATTGAAGTGAGAGACGCCATCTGATACCCATTTTGTCAACGCAACCGAAAGTGGTAAACCACGTCATCAGTCACTGAATGGTCGCGTCATCGGACCCTGCAGCGAACAGCTGCACAAAGCCACTCATGTCGTCCTTCTCGTCCTTCACGACAAGGACTTGTTTTTGGCCAGACTTGGTCATGGGCATCGACAACCAGTCGAAATGGATGTGCTCGTTAGGTTATTTCGCGTGGAACGCTGAACCCAATGGACGGGGAAACTTGTCTCCGTCAATGCACAGGCAGTGTAAACATTTCTACGTCCGTGGAATGCGTCTTCCACATAAACTTACTTGGTTGTCGCTGCGATATGACACTGACCGCTAGTTCATTGGTGAGAGATCACACAAATCCGCTATTGCAGGTCAACAGCCCCGTCTGAGGCGACACCACATGATCAACTTGCGAATTCGCAACTGGTTGATCCGTCGGAGCCGAACCCCATCGGCCCAGGAGGTCGCCCCTTACATTCGCGTCACCCGAGACGAACTCAATTGTGTACGGGAAGGTCGACATCGCCAGCGACCATCGCTGCAACTTGTCGGCCTGGTACTTGGCCATGTTAGTGTTCGAGCCACTTGGGTTGACAATGTACACCACGTTGCGATGATCCATAAACAGACGGAAACCACCCGGGCGTACGACAAGGTAGTCGAGCCTCTTGCACGACTCTACCCCGGTATAGGCCTCCTTCTCAACGATGGGCCAGTGTGCACTCGCGCCAGAAAACATCCCACTGATGAACCCAAGCGGCTGGAGCCACTGGGCTTCCATAGGCAACTCGAGATCCGCTGGCGGTACTTGTGTGGCGACCCACCCCAACACAGGTCACTGGCGTCCGTGAAGACGCAGACTGCCATGTGCTCTCGCGGGTGCAGACAGGGCACCACATACGCGAACGCGTGTTTCACATAGTTGAAAACTTGAGATGGTCGGACGACCATCCCACGGCAGGGAGTGCAACACGCACTAAGGCCGTTTTCTTGCAGCTTCCGGCTACCTTAGTGGCCACGTCCAGCAGACGTCGCAACGGATCCACCAGCTGGTTGTAGGCGGGGATGATCGCACGAATCCACTTGGTTGAACACACAAACTGCTGGAGATCGGCCGCTGTCGTCGGTGGCGACAAATCCACGCGTCCTCAATTTCGGTTTGGGGATATGGGTGATTCCATCGGCCGAAATCACCTTGCCACAGCACTCTGCCTCGCGCAGAAAGAAATGGCACTTCTCCAAGATCAACTTGAGTCCGAACTGGACACATATGGTCAAGAATTGGTCCAACAATGGAACATCGCGTCCGTCGACCCCAGCAAGTCATCGAGCGAGGCCAACAGAACTCAGAATAGCAGTTCACCAAACATTTGGTGGACAACCGACTTGCAGTGCGCGACAGCGTCCGTCTGTCCCATGAGTACGCGGGTCGGGGTGTACACGCCGAAGGGCGTCATGAACGCAAAGTACATCTGGATGTCCACATGTAGCGGCAACTGCCAGTACCGCTTGCCTTGGTCTGGTCCAACGTGAAGACACGTTCGTTCCGACCAGACAGACCATCGCGCTGTCCAGATTTGGCATCGCACAAGGTATCGGTTCCGTGCAGATGTTGATTGGCCTGCTGTCGATCTTCGTGTCGAAACGAACCGCAGACGTTGCTCAAAACATTCAGATCTTAAGGGTCTTTCTCAAGCCCAGACTTCAACCACGCGACCCACTCATCGTTCATGATGGAATTATAGTCGCGGTTAAAATCCAACAGCGCGATAGGGATCTTCGGAAACGGCTCCATAGCAGGCAGTCACGGGCATCGCGAACGGACGCTATCTGTACTGCAGAGCGTTGATCTGTCCAGATACTTCTGGTTCTCGCACATAAAATCGCGTCTTTCGGTCTTGGTCGAGCACAAAAATGCCGGCGACTGCGGGATCGCTGGTGCGTTCCAACCTTGCGGCGCCGTACGGCCGTAACCGCCAGCGCTGCGCATGTTCGTATCATCACGGACACCTGACAGATCCTTGTCCGCTGGCAAAGGCACTGAAACTCTATTTCCTTTAGTCGTAGGAGAAGCAGCAACGGGTACAAACGCTGCGACAAATGGTGTTCCTAGGGTTTTGGCAGGAGTGTAAAACACAGTGGTGGTTGCCACTTGTCGACAGCAGGTGGCTGTCTTTGTCGGGGAAATCTGAACGGATACTCACGGTACGCCTAGCGACGCATTCTCGCGGCTCCTCGATCCGGTCACGTGATCGCGATTGTTCTTCGGCTTTCGTTGGTGTTTCCTCGTCGGAGGACTGTTCGCGTACTATCTCCAAATGAATAGCTCAACAATAAACTAAAGATATATTCGTCTTGTCTTCCGCTTCTTCTTAGCTTTCGGCCACGGGACCTTCGTCAAGGTAACACATAAATAACACTACCATAGTGAGGCTACACATGCCACAAGACGCCTACTGACTACCACTCACTAAAGTACTCAGTACCTCCCTAAGGTATCGGAACCTTTGACTCGGCGTGCACATAGTGTTTGTTAGCAATGGTTCAAACGGATGCATAACCCAATTGCTCTGCACCCTGCAGAACATGGATGCACATCAAGCACAGCGGCTACTTCTGTGTTCTCGTACTAGTCAAAACTCGCCATCTTGTTTGTCGAGCTCTGCACGACATATCTTTGTTCTCGGGATGCTGAGTCGAGGTCATGAGGTCATGGTTCTTTTTGGGATATACTGTGTCGAAGTCTTGGTGATTATTATGCCGATCTGCGTTTTCAACCAATAGCAAGTCAATGTGAACGATATGTTGCTTCCACGACAACTAAATCGCCCAATCAGATTGTCTAAGAATTTCTCGCAGATCAAAATTCATATTCCAGAAAATGACATGAAATATGGGCGAAAATAACGGCGTCGTAATGCAAGTAGGGAAAACGTAACGTTTTCCCAAATTGCTTGAACAAATACCGGTAGTTTCTCAAATTTACTGTGAATGCATATTGCACTGCACTACGTTTCATTGGGCCAATCACATCGCTAGAAAATAGGTATTTTCATACTTTCATACTTCCAAGACGATAGTTGTTTGATGACGTACTACTACCGTATACCTTATGGATCAGTACCCATGATTTTGCCTTCTCGAGTTGTACCCAAATTGCTCTATGGTGTCAATAAAGTACGATTTGGTGGTGGTGTACCTTGGAAGGCTGTACCCAAGTCGCTCAAAACTGTCCAATTGTCTCGTCGTTCTAGCTCGTTCTAGCCAATTAAACAAGTCGAAGTAAACAAGTCGAAGTAGTAGAAGTAACCAATCCGAACGCATTGGAAAGAAATCCGACCACCTTATTGAGTTGTATCCGTGATCAGATTTTACTGACATTTTCGGGGTACAGATCCAAAAGGTATACGGTAGTACGCCATCGTGCTGAACTTACCTGGCGCTCACGCTTCGGCTCTCCGTGACTACCACGTGACTACCATGTCACCACTACGGTGGGGCCTGCGCACTCGATTCGTCGTCCTAAGGGTACGAATCGTACGCTTAGGGCATCCCCACCGGTGCGACTGTATAATCAGACTGTAAAATACTACTATTAATAGTACGTAGTACCGTTTTACAGTTCCTGTATTTTGATTTTTGTCAACCCAGTGGTAAAACATCCGAATAATGTTTTTATCCGGAAATGAACGCCTGGCGCGATGGCGTGGGAGGACGACGATGATGACATGGATCAAGCTTGGGAGATTCTTGGCTTTCATCAGTCTTCTGGGCGCCCTAAATGCTCTATTGCCAACCGCCAGCCAAATCTACCACGAGATAGCGAGGCTGCGCATGCTCGAATTTACCTACAATCCAATCAATCTACGGCGAAGCCAAGTTTCGCCGTCCATTTTCGAAAGGCCAGACCGCTGTTTGAACGAATCATGGACGGTTTGGTGATGCGTGATGAGTACTACCCTTGGACGCATCTTGAGAGATGTTGATCCATGACCGGACAAGCTGGCAGTCTTCGTCGGTCGTGAAGTTGGAACGACGGACGGCCTTGGCTGATTCCATTTCTGAACCTACTGATTGTGACCGTACATGATTGGACAAAATTATCCATTGATAGCATGCTATTGGCTAATTCGTCAAAACTGTATTTTACAGTCGCGACTGTAAATCTGGCCGATTTGCCGTCTCGCGTTAAAATTTTACAGTTTCCTGTATTTTACAGTCGCCCCCGGGAGGGTTGTCAAAACTGTAAATAATCCGGATAGAACTGTATAATAGCGTTTACAGTCGCACACACCGGTGGGGATGCTCTTAGGAGAACGTACTACTGTACGTCCTCCTACCCCGTAACCTGGCTACACTACCACGACCACCACCGCCGCTCCTACGGCCATGGCATATGCTCGCCAAATAACGCATACAAGCCACACCCACCCATCCTCCCTAACTACTGTAACTCCTGTTACACTTCTACTCTCGTAGCATGGCAGGGCAACAGCTACCCTGCAATCACCACCATACAGCTCCACTGTCGAGATCAGGAGTAGACATAGTAATGAACCCCAGTCACGGCCTCTGGAGCCCCAGCAGTCACAACTATCGTTCCCCGGTAAAGACCACTACCATCCTTTTGACTATCGTTATCGTTATTCTGGAGCGTGGGTGGTGGGGTGGTAGTGGTACTGATTAGCAGTCAAAGTGATTTCCAACCACCACTACCACCCCACCCCTACGCTCCAGAAAATGCCCAAAAACCCTGCTAACATTACCCCAGTGACTACGATTGCTGCACATGTGACCACCCCATCACTCCATTGTACAGTGACGACCAACTATCACATCGACTCTGTGTTTCCTCTAAATCGACCACCAAGTTTTCACACTATTTTGTTCACTAGAAGGGTACTTGGTGGCATGGTGATGACATGCGCAGCGCTTGTGACCATCGGCACTGCGCATCTCACCACCACACCATCAAATACACTCTAAGTTGTGTGAAAACGGATTACGATGTGTGGCAGTGATAGTTGATTGTACCATTTGATGCTGGGGTCCCATCGGCGTGCAAGGAAGCTTTGGAGGATGGCTGATGCTAACAGGAACAACCAATTCACTCGTCTCCTCATGCTATGTGTTTATTTGTAGTGATTACGTACTCAAGTGATGCAAAGTGGGTTTTTCAACCAAGTTAATAATCCTGTATACCTCCACCAACTCGTCCATCGCATAACGATACCCATGGAATCATGTGTGCCTTGTGGACATTGTGTCGACGACTGCACCTCTCCAAGGTTCGTGATACGAGGCACAAGTACACTGTATGTCAACCTCAGTGTATTTATGTCCAATCAAAACCATAACTTCATTGATTGGATAAAATAATGAAGGTAGTGGAACCTTGCATTACGATTTCCAACCACAACACAATAATGTACTGGTATCGGTTATCAAATCACCGACTTCAAATTTTTTGGTGTCGTATGCCACCTACATGTCAACATATAAACAACATCCTCGCTCACACAAGGTTATCTCATTGAGACCGATCGAAGATCTCAGATTGGAAATCTTCGTACGTCGAAGTTGGCGCGGTCGATTCGCCATAGCGCACAGAGCTCCACCTCTATCGGTCGGCGGCGCAATTCTAAAATGTTGTATACCGGACATACATTTTCAGAATATACATTCACTCTGTTTATATGGTAATTTGTATTGAGAATGTCCGTTCTTAATTATGTCCGGGTGCAAAAATCGATTGTTGTATGCAAAGTCCATGCACAATTGCGTTCGCTCATTAGAAGCCATAACCACGTTTCCAGCATTTTAATTGGCTAATCAAATTCAATCAGCAGCTCCCAACTGTTGCTGAGATATCCCAAGAAATGTGACCGTTCCCTGAATTATGATATAAGCTCCTTCTGCATCGGAGTTGGTTAATTGAGTTTGGATTATCAGAGTTGAAGTCGGTTTGTGTACATGTACAGTATATGGTGTAGTTGTTTCTTGGTACTAGTAGGGTTTTGGTAAAGTCCCTACCATCCGTATAATTCAGCAAGTATTCGTATCCTACGAAATACTTCTTTTCTATATCGTCGATTTTGGAGAAAATATTATTTCCCTCTCCGTAGACTTCAGTCGATGGAGCGAATTCGCAGATCGATGATTACGTGGTCTAAAAGAGACTATGAAGTATCGAAGTGATTGAAGCTCTTGTTTAGTTCAGTTGCTGTATCTGTAAGATGCTCGGAAAGGCGTGGCTGTGAAGGCAAAGAATGACTTGCATCCGAAGTACAGTAGCACTCGTCGGTAACTGGCAGCAAAGCGCCAGCTGTCGAGGAGTGCTTCTTTCAAACGTAATGTACTTATCTCGTTCTTCTAAGATTCTTTGATCAGCCATTGGTACAACTCCGGCCGGATGTACTACAGTACAGTTAGGCGCGGCCGACGAAGCGCCGGACGCCACTTAAGCTGCTTCGCAGTTTCTACTAACGTTACAGGTAGTGTTTACATGTGATGATGTATGGGATTCTACGCACTATGCATGAAATCGGCGGTAGTCATTAACTTGTTCACTGCCATTGCGTCTCTGATTGACCTCCACTTCATGTGGCCCATCCTCCATGCTCTATTTGCCGACAAAAGAGCGTTGTACCAAGTCAACAGATTTGGGGGGTGATTCGAATTCCCATAATCTACCCATACATGAGGGATTCTAAGTTCCAAAGTTTTCCTCAAGTGTATACATACATTTTTAGGGGATATTTTAAGGATAAAGATATATTCGGTGGATATTTGTCATCATATCTTACAATTCGACGACACGATCATCAATCCCATCCGCTCTCATTTGAGTCACCTAAGCAGAACTCGCGTCCTATTTCGTGGTGCACCAACTGGGCCAAAAACGCCGTTGTTCCTATCAATTTCAAGGAGTTATCCCTAACGTTGATGCCTTCACCCATACTACTAGTACCACCGGATTACGTATTAATACTTATGTTAAACTATTAATAGTATTATTATTGGCAGAGGTGACCAGACAGAATAGAGCACCATCTGTCGAAACACTCTGCCAACAGAACAGGTGTGATCCGAACCATTCCATTTCAAACTTTCTTGGCACTTCCTCAAACTGCCACTGCCCCCGAATCAACTGAATATTTAGCTTTGTACCGACATGGCCCTCGTACACGCAACCAAACACGGCAAAATCGAAGACGTCCGAGCTTGCTTGAACCAAGGCATGCCAGTCGATGGATCAGGGGTGAGAGAACTTACACATAGTCACAACATTCACGTATCATGTGTCCTAGGACGATTGGTCGCCCTTGATGTGGGCAGCGTTTTACGGCCATCAAGATGTCGCCCAAGTTCTACTAGACAACGGCGCCAATATCGACTTCGTATTCTACCAAGATAACAAGAATGCCATTGACTGCGCTTCGGAAAATGACCAAACAGCTTTTCTAGAGTTCCTTAAAAAAATCCCATCGAAGGGGAAACCAACGCTAACGCCCCACAAAAGCACAATGTCTGCCATCAACGCAGACGTGCTCGTCCACGGGTGCAAATACGGCAAGGTGGACGATGTCCGCGTGTGTCTGGAGGAAGGCATCGAGGCAGACGGCCAGGGGAACGAGTGGACTCCGTTCATGTGGGCTGCGTACTACGGCCACATCGACGTGGCGAAAGTTCTGGTGGAATTCGGAGCCGACCCCGACCACGTGTGCTACTACGACGGCAAGGATGCCACGGACGCCGCCAAGGAAAACAACCAGAATGAGTTCCTCGAGTACCTGAAGACGTTGCCGCTCAAGGGGAAGCCTGCGCCTCCGTCGCACAAGAGCACCATGTCTGCCATCAACGCAGACGTGCTCGTCCACGGGTGCAAATACGGCAAGGTGGACGATGTCCGCGTGTGTCTGGAGGAAGGCATCGAGGCAGACGGCCAGGGGAACGAGTGGACTCCGTTCATGTGGGCTGCGTACTACGGCCACATCGACGTGGCGAAAGTTCTGGTGGAATTCGGAGCCGACCCCGACCACGTGTGCTACTACGACGGCAAGGATGCCACGGACGCCGCCAAGGAAAACAACCAGAATGAGTTCCTCGAGTACCTGAAGACGTTGCCGCTCAAGGGGAAGCCTGCGCCTCCGTCGCACAAGAGCACCATGTCTGCCATCAACGCAGACGTGCTCGTCCACGGGTGCAAATACGGCAAGGTGGACGATGTCCGCGTGTGTCTGGAGGAAGGCATCGAGGCAGACGGCCAGGGGAACGAGTGGACTCCGTTCATGTGGGCTGCGTACTACGGCCACATCGACGTGGCGAAAGTTCTGGTGGAATTCGGAGCCGACCCCGACCACGTGTGCTACTACGACGGCAAGGATGCCACGGACGCCGCCAAGGAAAACAACCAGAATGAGTTCCTCGATTACCTGAAGACGTTGCCGCTCAAGGGCAAGCCTGCGCCTCCGCCGCACAAGAGCACCATGTCTGCCATCTACGCGGACGTGCTCATTCACGGGTGCAAATACGGGAAGGTGGACGATGTCCGCATGTGTCTGAAGAAAGGCATCGAGGCAGACGGCCAGGGCAACGAGTGGACTCCGTTCATGTGGGCTGCGTACTACGGCCACATCGACGTGGCCAAACTTCTGGTGGAATTCGGAGCCGACCCCGACCACGTGTTCCACCACGATGGCAAGGATGCCACGGACGTCGCCAAGCAAAACAACCAGAATGAGTTCCTCGAGTACCTGAAGACGTTAAAAGCTAAGCCTGCGCCTCCGTCACACAAGACCACCATATCTGCCATCAACGCAGACGTGCTCATTCACGGGTGCAAATACGGCAAGGTGGACGATGTCCGCGTGTGTCTGGAGGAAGGCATCGAGGCAGACGGCCAGGGGAACGAGTGGACTCCGTTCATGTGGGCTGCGTACTACGGCCACATCGACGTGGCCAAACTTCTGGTGGAATTCGGAGCCGACCCCGACCACGTGTTCCACCACGATGGCAAGGATGCCACGGACGTCGCCAAGCAAAACAACCAGAATGAGTTCCTCGAGTACCTGAAGACGTTAAAAGCTAAGCCTGCGCCTCCGTCACACAAGACCACCATATCTGCCATCAACGCAGACGTGCTCATTCACGGGTGCAAATACGGCAAGGTGGACGATGTCCGCGTGTGTCTGGAGGAAGGCATCGAGGCAGACGGCCAGGGGAACGAGTGGACTCCGTTCATGTGGGCTGCGTACTACGGCCACATCGACGTGGCGAAAGTTCTGGTGGAATTCGGAGCCGACCCCGACCACGTGTTCCACCACGACGGCAAGGATGCCACGGACGCCGCCAAGGAAAACAACCAGAATGAGTTCCTCGAGTACCTGAAGACGTTGCCGCTCAAGGGGAAACCTGCCCTTGTGACGTTGAATGGACAAGAGAATTCTTCATATTTGGGCGAAGCTACTGTTTGCAGGGTTGGTACCAGTGGCGGTGCTATGGATACTGCGTCGAGCATTCTGCCATCAAGAGTGGCATCTTCGACATCTCAAGAAAAGGATACAAGTGGGTCACATGATGTGTCAACGGCACAAACCCAACCCAAGGGAACGAAGGCGCCCAAGGCGTGTTGTGTGATTCAGTAAGGTCAGATTGAATAATAATAATAATATGTTAGTGTGTGTTTATATTTTTACCAGCCACCTGTGCAATGTGTGAAGAGAAGTCTTGCTTATCCATTGATGTCAATATACCGAC